TCAGCTAAACGATTTGAAGGTGAGCCGGTGAAATTGATTTACTCCAATATAAATATACTTATCTAATATCATCTTGTTTTCTTTAGAATGATCGCAATGCACAGCGCGAGGAAGCTCAGACACCGGCTCAGCGTCAGGCAGCTGCTAAGATGGCGCTGCGCAAACAGCTCGAAAAGACTTTGCTACAGGTGAGCTGTGTGGCCTAATGCAGATAGAGCAGAACGGGAACCAGGACGAGTAGTAGAGCTAGCTAAGCTGTGGGTTGGAAACTCACTAGGATAGAGCTAGCAGTTTCGAGCAGTTTCATTGTTGATAACTCCATAGATATAAAGCTCTTACCACTATTTTGGGTCAGAAATAGAAGGTGCTGACTTAAGCTAGATGGAAACAAATATAAAACATTGATTTGATAAGAAAAATGGCTCAAGTATTGCACAAATAAGTTAGACTTGGTATGCTAAACCCAAACTGATAGGTTAACAATATTTCTGGACATAGATCACATAGATAAGATGTTATGCTACGGCTTGAGATCGGATTTGAATAGAGAAATTCAGCACAAGTTGATCTCAAATAAGCTTCAATTAGTATTTTAAGCCCAAATCGATATATATCGATTAATTTTGCGAAGGAGGATTGAAATACCTTATAGAGTATCTTTATATATATAAATTTTTGATTGCTACTGAGGATCTTTGCATTGGCATTGAGAATTTAACCAGTAGGCTTTATCCAGTGACAGTTTTCGGTCATGCTCTCATGTTAAATAATTATTCAATATAAATATAAAATATAATGCCACGAAAACGCAAGGGGGCTAATTTGAGTCGTCGAACAGTCAAAGTTAGAGGCATGCAAGATATCAGAGCTCAGAGATCAGATGAAGAAAGGCAACAAATCAATGCAGATGTCCGTGTGAGAATGGCGCAGTTACGTGCATCCCAATCGCAAGAGGCACAAAACCAGCAAAGACGATTAGAACGAAGGGTAGCGCGCAGATTCGTGGTCAACAGACGTAGAAGAACCGTAGAGGACCGACAACGTCAACAAGTACTGCCAGCACATTCATCTCTTCGCCTAGCATTTCAGTATGAGCCACAAAGTCAGCTCATTGCTACCAATGCCAAATGAGCATTATAACTGCATCCCCTCCCCCCATTTTGTATTTAAGTACATAATATTCCCTAGAAATAATGGAAAAATAATGGCTAAACAACGTACATATGTATACTCTTGATGAATTGAGTCGATTTAGTCGTATTTTCAGGAAATGTTTCAGTCAGTAGCAGTCTATTTGAATGCCAGTTCTTTAGTATTGAGAAATATAAAATTTATAGAAGATATCCTTGAACTTGCTTTCAAAAGCATTTGTATTCAACAGTAATTCATATATAATATATGCCTTGTCTAGATACCGCCACCAAAGCCCCCACCGCCAGAGATGCACTTCATTCCCAATCCAAGCAATACGGACTTTGTTTATCTGCTTGGACTAGAGACAGTTGTGGATTATTTGACCGTGAACAAGAAGGCGAACGCTGTGGCGGCGCCCTTCCGATGCGCCCAATGCAAAATAGACTTTACGCCCGTTTGGAAATGGGAGAAACAGAGTAAGCAAATCGAATTCCTTAAACGCTAATTATGATTAACTGTTTTATTTTGCTCCGCAGCCAACAAGGAGGCAAAGGTCATCTGTGAGCAGTGCGTGACATCGAATGTGAAGAAGGCACTGAAGGCGGAGCACACGAATCGACTGAAGCAGGCGTTTGTGAAGGCGCTGCAGCAGGAGCAGGAGATCGAGCAGCGCTTGGCCAGCAGCCAGAGCAGCCCATCGCCAGTTGAAGCGCATGCCTCCAGCAACAATGCCAACAGCGTCGCCTCCGCCCATCAGCAGCAACAGCAGCAGCAGCATCAGCAACAACAACAACAACAGCAGCAGCAGCAGCAACAGCAGCAGCATCAGCAGCAGCTCCATCAGCAGGCGCTGAGGGAACAGCGCGAACAGCTGCAAGCATCTCATGCATCTGCAGCAGCTGCTTTAGTTAATTTGCCACCTTCGGTTACCGTTATACCTACTAAATGCCAGACACCTACGCCAGCACCGCGGCCCACACCGCCGCCGCCAAGCGTACAAAGCCAGCCTACGCCGCCACCGCCGCTGAATCAGTCGGGAAGTACTCAACGCTCCTCGCGTGCTGCAGCCACAGCAGCAGCGGCAGCCATTGCAGCCCAGCAGGCGGGCATACTGAGTCCCGGGCCAGCGGCAGCTGCAGCGGCGCATCATCACGAGGCGTCGTCATCTTCAACAGGTCGCTCCTCGGCGCGTGCCGAACGCGAACATCACCAGCACCATCATCAACAGCAACAGCAACAACAACAACAGCAGCAGCAGCAACAGCAGCAGCAGCAACAACAACGCGAGCAGCAGCAACAGGCGCAGAACTATGATAAATATTCAGCTGCCACGCTGGCGGCAGCGGCGCATCTCAGCGCTCTGGGCGGCATGGGCGGTCTGAATATCAACAATCTGGCAAGTTTGGGCAATCTCAATCAGTTGGGCAATCTGGCAGCACTTGGCGGCTTAGGCAACTTTGGCAACGCCTCGACGGCAGCCAACAACCCAGCTGCAGCTCTAGGAAACGCATCGCCAGCAGCGGCCATGCAAGCCTTTCAGCAGCAGCTATTTAGAGGTGCGTCTAGCGAGAGAGTTTACTGTATACTGATATGTTATTAATATGGTTTATTTTTTCTTACAGCACTTGGTCAGGGCTTGGGCGGCAATCCGCAGCATATGATGCAATTTGCGCCACTTCTATACACCTACCAAATGGCCATGGCGCAAGCGGCACAAGTGGCAGGTGAGTTAACATTGAGCGAACTGTAGAAATAATGTTAAGCTAACAGGATAATGTTAGCAAAAGTGCATATACAGTGACATTTGCAGTGAACCTAACAGCCCCAAGCTATTTAACAGCAAAATGTATAAGAATATTCTATTCTGTTACATACTGTTAAGCTAGCAGTCAGAGCGCCATTTGACTTACGGCAAAATGTCAACTAGCATTGTAGAGTTAACTGTAAACAGCATTAAAATTGTAGATAACAGGATTGTTTCTAATTTGGTTTTCTTTCTATTTCCCCACATATAGCTTTCAACAACAATAACAAGAAGAGCAGCTCCGCTTCCAGTTCATCGAAGAACTCGAACAATGCAACCAGCTTGGCTGACATTCAGCGGGCGGCGGAGTTACAGCGTCAGTATCTGCTGGAGATGATACCGCCACAGCAGCCGAGTGGACCCAGCGGCAGTCGCCAGAACAATTGGAAGGCCTAAGCAGAGAACGAGGCTTAATATGAACAGTAACAGCAGCAACAACAACTAACTAACTTTATAATTTTCTTGATTAGGTAATTTTATAATTTACGCAAGCAGCATAATGTACACGTAAATACAATGATTATACTATTTGTAAACAATAATTATAATATAATTAATTATACATAATTATACATACAAAAAGAAAAAACACATCTTCAACGTAATTGTTCGTAGTTTCCTTTTTTTGTTAATACATGTCGTGTTTCGCTCTCATTTTCCATACAACAATTACGACTACAATTACAACTAGCAATAGAAATCGCAAAAAGAAAAAATAATAATTAAAAAAAATTGAATGAACACTTTTAAGCTCTTATAGTAATTGGATTTATACATAACATATGAATAATTCATTGATTGATAGTCTATAAGCAGACAGCCCCATTTTTGAAGGGGCCTAACGCCCCCTCGCCCAATCTACACCCCTGAAACTCAGTTCTTTGGGGCTGTACAAGTTTAGTTTTCTATATATACATATATAATTATATGTATATATATACTTATGTATATGCAAATATTTTGTAATCAATTTTTAATATACGCATTTTAGTTTTTAGTTGTAAACAAATTTTTAGGGCTCTAATAAATTGCACAATAATTTTAGTTTTTGCCAGTACATAAACTATTTCATACAAATATACATACATGCATACATATACATACATTATGATACAATTTAATAATTTACTAGACTCAATTTATATGATCCCACTTCAAAGACGATAGTACTGTTATTTAGTTGATCTTAACTCGTTACAAACCCCGATTCACATATGCATCGAAAACATCAAATGCCGTTAATACAATATTGTACATAAAATATCCAAATATATATATATACACATATATATACTATACAAAACCTAACATACCAAGAATACAGGTTATCCAAAGTTTTCAACCATTTTCATGGATATGCCTTTCGAACAACTAAAAAGAAATGAAAAACAAAAAGGGATAAATTGAAAGCACGTAATATTGACTGAAATTTAGCATATTTTGTAGTATCTCAATGGACATGCATCAGCTTGCATACATTAAGAACGAAATTAGGCACATTTTCGGCAAAATAGGCTTTATATATATATGGAATGAGAACGGAAACGGAAACCGAAGCGGATGGAAATGGGAACAGGAATAGAAACAGAAGCAGGATGAAGGTTACATTTAGGCGAATCATTCGGAACACACAAACCAAAATTCATTTTTGGACATGCGAAATCAAATTGTGATCAAATTATAAAACGTAAACAAGAAAAGTGAAAAAATCCATAATAATTTTTAGCTAAGTTTAAAACACGCATTGTAATTCGAATTCAAATTAATAACAGCCGATAACGATAAGCAAAACACGAAAAGAAAAAGCATAAAAAAAAAAAAACAAAAAACAACCGCAACATTAACAGCGTTAGTTTCAATGTGTATGTGTTTGAAATTCTATGCTAACTAAAAAAAAATATAAGATATGCATATAAACAGTTTTTAAACCAAGCTAAACTTGTATTTCATTTCGCGCTCGATAACATTAACTGTGCGATAGTCATAATCATACTCATCGCAAACAGCAATCGTACGCCGCCACAATGTAATGCATACATTCCATGCCATGCTTGCACACGCGTCCATCACTAATTGAGAGCCCAACAAAGTTGCTTAGCAACGTTGCCCATCGACGGGTTAATTTAGCCAAACTAGTTAGCTTTCGGCCGCAATTATGATAAGCTTTTTATTCATTGTTAATCGTGCGTTCAGCAGCGCCAGTAGCACAGTGATGGCACAAGCAGCTACTGGGCCACGTCCGCTCGTGTTGTGCGGCCCCTCGGGCTCGGGCAAAAGCACATTGCTGAAACGTTTATTTGCCGAATTTCCGGATACGTTTGGCTTCAGTGTTTCGCACACCACTCGCCGGCCGCGCGAAGGCGAGGAGCATGGCGTCCACTACTATTTCGTGGACCGGGACGTTATGGAGCAGGCCATCGCCAATGATGAGTTCATCGAAACGGCAGAATTCACTGGGAACATGTATGGCACAAGCAAGGAGGCCGTGCGTGAGATCCAGAACCAGGGCCGCGTCTGTATATTGGACATTGAACAGAAGGGCGTGGAACAGATCAAGAAAACCGATCTCAATCCCATCTTGATCTTTAACAATCCACCGACTATCGACGAGCTTGAGCGACGTTTGCGTAAACGCAACACCGAAACGGAGGAGACGCTGGCCAAGCGGCTCAATGCGGCGCAGGTGGAAATTGAATACGGTCTGACACCAGGAAATTTCCACAAGATCATACACAATGTGGATATCGATGTTGCCTACGAGGAGTTCCGCGACTTTGTCGTCGAAGAGCTGAAGAAGCAGGAGGCGATGGGCGTGCGCTTCAATTAGTCTCAGCTCTTAATTTGATATCTTCACTACAGGCATTTAAACTTACTCAATTAATCCGTATTTATTGTGTGCAATTGTTGTTGTTGTTAATCTTAAGCAGAAAATTTGTAAACAATAAAGCAAACAAGTCCAAGAGGCTTTTTGCAATTACAATTTAGTTGACGAACTCGAATACAAACGCAATCGTAGCAAAAGGTCAAAGTGTTATCAATTAAAGCAAGAATGAAAAATGTGTAGAGCCAGCACGCAATCTGTAGATATGCCATTGGGAATCATCCATTAGCCATTAGTCATTTGGTAGCAAAGCCTTTGCACATTTGTCATCCTTCCTCCYTMCTCCATYAGCTGAACACAACACGCACTCCAAGACGCCAATCCTGCTCGGAACCTTTAGTGTTTTATGGTTTAATTTTGATACGGATTGCTTTTATAATCGTGATGTAGATGGAGGCGTGCTTGATAGCTCGCGTTACCCGTTTGCAGGCTATTGACGCGATGCACCACTCGAGCGGAGCCTTCGATCTTGGTGCGGCTGTCCGCACTGCTCCACAGGCCGGCTATCGCCTCCAATGCCAGCTCCGTTTCGTCCTCCTTGTCGTCGTGCTCTGCGGATAGCGTTAAGTCGATTTGACGGCGCTCACGAAGGCCAATCGATGGAGCCCCAGCCGCCAATCCAATGCCCAAGATTAATAACAACAGCAAACAGATGTGAAGAGCTCGCATGTTGGGAATATACTGACTATGCTGGCWGGCTGTCTGATCGATTCATGCAAATCGATTAGCTTATCTCAAAGAGGCGGGACTAAATGGCTCGACTAGTAATTACCCTAAGTTGAACTCGAAATAGAGCAAGTGCCGAGCATGGTTTGATCGATTCAGTTCATCATTCTCTACGATAATACTTATGCTTTCTGGAAATTATCACACCTCCTTCTTCTGGTAGCATACCCTGAACATCTTTACCCATTCTGAGCATGTGTATTTTACAGGGTATACAAAGCAATCTGAAGCTAGATTTCGACCTTAGCTTTTATTGCATACAATTCAAATAAATGTGTTAATTCACTAGACTTTGGGTTCAAGGATTTGTGCTGGGGGCCAGTCCCATTGCTTGGGTGGCGCTGTCTGCACCAGTTTCTCCCACGGCTTCCAGCCGAGCATTTTACGTGCGAGAATCAATTCGTTCTCGGCCTGTACGATCAGCTCCTCCACCTGGCCGCAGCCCACAGACTTCTCCAGTGCGCCAATATCCTTGTTCTATACAGTAAACCAAATAGAATACAATAATCATTATCCAGTTGTCAACTAACTGAGCTCACCTTTGCCACAGCATCCGCGCGCTGCTTGACTATCTGCTCAGTGTATTTGCGGTAGGCAGCATCCTGTGGCATTTTGGACACAGCACGCAGAATCTTGCCGTACAGGGCGGACAGTGTGTGGTGCGGGTTGGTGGCCACGGCCAAACCGGTCAATCCAGTGGACTGCAGTAAACAAGGATTTTATTATTATAATATTCAATAGTCTTATATTGTACAATAAGCGCAGGCAATCGATGACATAACCATAACAAGTGCACCACTGGCACTTAACACAGTTGCCATAAGTATGACAACAGCTTGAACTAATTAAATATTTACCGCTTTCAATACTTTTGCCATGTTATTTACACAAACTAAGCTGTAATTTCACAAAATTCAGCTAAAACCAAAGACAAAATATTTTGACAAAAAGTCAACAGCCAGGGCTACTACGAAAAATATGTACTATAACAAGCAGGGCTGTTTGCAGTTGAGATCTCATTATTGTTCAAACCAGTTATCGATTGAATGCTCGATTGTTATGGCGCGTAACTTAAAGTATTCAAAAAAACACCGACTTGTTGACATGCGTTTACTTTCTTTTTTTATATTAAAGCATCATACAACGAAATGACAAAAATTAATTCAGTATATATTTTCCCTACTCAGCGAATCATGTTATACCAAAAGAAATAATTGCATAAACTTACTGAATAAATTGGTTTTGTTGCGATCCCTCACTTGTTTAACCAAAGTTTTTAAGAGCAACTTAACGTTTCAGATTCATTTTGTTTTATTATCACAATAGCACTAATATATACAAGTGAGAAATATGAATTTTGAAAATGTTGCGAGTATTGGTCTAAACATACAATTTATAGAGGACAAAATTAATTCTATACTATCAGGCTAAGTTGTAGTTGGCGGCGTGGCTTCGGCCACAGCAAAAGCAGATATTAAAACGTTGATAACGGTCACAATAAATATGCCGATGACTGTATAATTATTAATTTTGTTCGCACGACATATTTCGCGTTCATCCTTAATATTGTATCTGCCATTCCATATAAGGCCAACGCCGACTGCAATCTGAAACGAACACAAAGCGTCAATAAATAACCGAAATACAAATTTGGCAATATGCATATATGTATGTATATACCTGAAATATAATGCTTAATGATATAAAAATTAAGCTGGGATAAAAGTACGGATGCTGTCGATTCGTTTCCAGAACATAACGCAGCTGATTCGCATTGGCCGAGAGCAGCGCCAGATCCATCATACCCTGAGCGAGCGTCTTCTTATGCTGATAGGCATTCACATCCGGTATGGGTGTTTCCACGCCATTTATGGTCACAAAGCCGGGACCATCATAGCCTGGAAATGTAAAGCTAGGACGGCGGCCTCCATTCGGTTGAGGTAAATTGGGGCGGAAATTCTCGCCTCCATTACCTAGCAGGCCATCATCCACGCCCGCATTAAAGCCATTCGCAGAAGGACGTTCATCATCATCATCATCATCGATTTCAGGAACTGTATTGAACAGATTTGGCATTCAGTATTACGAAGTTATGATTTGATAGATATATAGAAGCATCTTACACAATTATTTGTTACGGGCGCAAAGTTGAAAATGTTTATTTTAAAGCACAGATTGGTGAGAGAGCATTGAAATGAATGATTAAGTTATACTTCAGTTAGCTTTTAGGTCTTAATAAATGATGTAAACTACAAACCTGCTCGAGGTATGCGCCCTTTGCGTCCATCTATATCGTCCAAGCCCTCATTGTGATTAACCTTTAAATAAAAATACATAAAAATAGTACAAATAATCTTAATTAAATCTCATACTTAAGATTTAATGTATATAAAACTTATTATTTTATGGCTATGTGCAATAAATGCGACCGTGTTTTTTACGCTTTGTTTACAAAGCTAATCAAATGCAAATATATTTATATTATTTACCAAAGCTTCCGTCATAAATGCTGATAAATTCATTTCTGTATGCACCATATATGCTTATGTATTTCCCATTTCAATCTCAGCGATTCATAATTTGGTCCAGAGAGTGACTAATCAGGGTTTTTTTTCTCCACTTCTCTCTAAACCAATATATTTCCCCAAACAATGTGTGCACTTTAATTATCAGCTAACCCTCGCTAGGCTGTATATACATACATATATACATCTATATGTATATAGTTCCTACTTGTTATTCTAATATACATACATATGTATAGTTGATTGATGTTTCAGTTGCCAAGTCAAAAATTAATGTAAACAATTTATACGCTGCTTTCCCGCGCTTTGTTAGTGTTAATACCAATTTTTAGCTATTCGTATGCAAATGTAAAAGACGGATAAAAACTTACTTGATTTTTAGCTGGTGTTTTCGGATTGGCTACTGAGTCCATCTCAAGCGTTATCTGCTGTAGATTGCTCATTTTTACAATTGATGAGCGTCTTCAATTGAGATCGGCAAGAATTTTAACGATGAACGTTTTTCTTTGTTTGTTTTATCCGTTTATGCTGCTTCTGCAAATGATACAAATCGCTTCGAGCGAAAAATCGCGAGCGCTTTACAACCGCCTCGTACGCTATTGGCTAAACAACTGTTCGGACAGAGAGATAGACTTTCGGTACATAGCCCCATCTCAAAGCAAGGCGAATTCGCTGCATTACACGATTATTCACTCGCTCCAATCTCTCTCTTACACTCTCTTGGAGCGGTACCTGTTTAATGTCCAGTTGTCTGGCGGTATTCATGATTAATTTGCTCGCTCCCTCCCTCTCAATCTATTTCTCATTGGATTTTTAAAAACTGTAATTCTCTCCCGATTCTTGAATGGTACTTGATTGCGGGAAAAAGCTCTCTCGCAGCCGAACATGCTAATGGCATGCCGACGCACGCCACACCAGGGGAAATTCTACTTTTATAATGGCAATCTATAGTATATGAACGATTTCTGAGAACCAAAAAATGTATGTACATAAGTGCATTAATGCAAGTTATTTGCGTGCAGTTATAGATTTTAGTAAGAGATAGATAATTCAGGGAAATAAGAGAAATTTGGGGAAATGTCAGGGCTAAAATGAATATGAACTTAGTCATTCATGGGGGCGACCGACCGTCAGAGTCGTTGCCAAAAGAAATTAATGCCAAGTTCAACGTCACAGAATCTAAGAAAGACCGTCCAAAATATAAACACGAATTGTGGTATTTTTGGCTACGTCAAAAACCGGTCTGGAAATGTTATGATTGTACATACATATGTACATACATACGTGTATATTTATCTATATGTTATTAAAGTATCTTGTGTGCATTTTTGTACTTATATTTACATGCAGAAAGTGCGTCTATAGAGTGCCGAGATGTGTATGTATATAAATGCCAAAAACAGTTTACTTTATTTCCTGTTTCATTTTATTTACATATGTAGATAAACATGCAGCTTTAACGGATGTTTCAATTCAACTAATTCGATAAGTGCCATGAGACTAAGCTGTCCTATGCAAACATCGATTACAAACTAATCACAACACTGCGTATTGATCATATTTTTGGTTCGAATGCCATCGCTAACAATTGGTTCACATGAAAAATGACGTGATCGCCGAAATATAAGCAGGTGCTTCCCAGAGAAACACCTCATTCCCGGTTAAATCGTAGCACGTAGCAGTTGTGGTAGACTTAATAATGGCAGGACAAGCTTCAAATAATAGGCGCACCATACGTGAGGTGCAGCAAACCTTTGCCGAATCCCTAGGATATGCCAATGAAATTATTTGGGACCTGTAAGTAGTGCGCAATTAGGTTTCTAATTGTGTGTGGAAACGCAATACGCTTATCGCTAATATGCCGTTTGCAATTTTCAAAGCTTATCCGCCAACCAGGCACATATTTTGAAGGTCAAAATCGAGAATTTAATACAGGATCCCGTTGTGCCGGCCGGACTGAATGCAGGGGAGAGAGAAAAAGCGAAAGCTAAGGTAGAAAAACAAAAAGCTGCCAATAAAAATATGCGCGAKATTTTTTTCAATGCCATTTGGTCGCAGCGTAAGTGTTCGCCTCTCGATAGGGATAGGCATAGAGTGCATCCTTGATATGTCTGTTTGTCATTGCAGGAAAATACAGCAATCGGCAGTCGCTCACGTCCATCTTCTATGTCATGGTTGCCACCGATGAAACGGACCACACGAAAGCAGCAAGTGCTACAGAATGGTCCTGTCATCCCGTTGTTCGTGTACGACGTTGCATTTGTAAGTTGAAAAAATGAGGAGTGTCTGAGACGCACGCATGATCGATGACTCAACATCCACGTTGTGTGACCTAATTGAATGACAATTTAATTCACCTCATACATATGTACTTATTCGATTTCCGGCCTAATATATAATCTTATTTATGATTGCAGCAATCAGCGAAGATAGCACAAATAGCTCCGATTGCTGCATGGTCYTTGTGGACGATCTGGGTCGGGTGTATCAGAACTGGATGGCCTATGTGGAGGGTAATGAGTTGCCCAAGGGTATCATGGTTGCGCCACGACGAGGTGTCTACAATCTGATCAATAATGTGGTTCAGTTGGAGACATGGCTAACGCCCGTCGCAACTACCAGGAGAAAGGTGCTCAATGCCATGGATACGACGACGGCTGTCACTGGCTTGGCAGCAGCTAGTGTGCCATTGTTGGGCTTACTGGCTGTGCCTATCGCTGGCCCAGTTATGGCCGCCGCCGGGTTCGCGGCTCTAGCCTGTGGCGGCTATGGTCTGGGTCGGTCAGCCTCCCAGCTGGTTGATCGCGGCACCCACGAACAATCGATCAGCATAACCGATCGCACGGCCCGCAATCACTGGCTGGGCGTAGGAGGTGGCACTGTGGCCTTGGGTGCAGCAGGCGCGACGACCTTGCTGACTGCTGCAACCAATGCGGGCAGGGAAGTGGGAGCCGTAAGTATTTCAAATAGCATACCTAAACAGCTGGGTAATTGTCTTGCTTCACAGATCACCCAGCTGACGGTCAACGGCATGAACATCTCCAGCATTATGATATCAGGCACGGGCTTGGCCAACGGCATAGTCGATCTAGTCTTGGTTAGACTTTCATTTGATTTCGCTCATATATGTTTTATATAATGTCTTTATAATTTCCTGCAGAAATATATGGATGGCGACGATATATCTGCCATGGACGCTCTGCAGCTGTCTGCCTCGCTGGTACTGTTCACGCACAGTGTCTACAACTTCAAGCTCGCGTCGACCATAATCAATGAGACGACCAATAATAGAATTGCCACTTATCGCGAGACGCTGAGCAATCGACAGAGGTACATATATTATCTTAACTGATATTCTAACTTCCAATCTTTTTATCGCATTTAAAGCAATTACCTAATAGGCAATCTAATCTAATCTAATGTATAATCTAATATGATATGCGATTTACAATGTGAAAAATTTTAAATTGTATCAAATCTCTCCATTGCAGGCGTATGTTTGACAAATTGTCGAAGGAGACGATTCGCACGCGCGGCGCTTCAACGGGCAAGCTGGACATCATTCGCAATGTGAACGAGATGCCCTCACGCAAGGAGTTCAATGATCTCTACAAGATCAATAAGCAGTTGAACCAGAAAGGCATTCGACCCACCTTCGCTGCAGATGGCCCGGGATTGATATTGAACAACGAGGTGAAGACCACTGGAGCCGAACTGCGAGCGAACTTGCAGCACAATAAGGGACCCGATGTGCTTGGCAAGGTGACTCAGCCAATTCCAGAGAGCCACAAACTGAATGGAGTGCGATCTACGCCGGCCGCAGCTCTCAGAAGTGATGCCTGGCTAAGCGCACCAACAAATCCAACGCTCGCCAATCAATTGGACCGAACCCACAGCAATTATGGCGAAGGCATTGATATATTGAGACTCAGCARYCTGGTGTGCAATGGCGTCATGATAGCCCTTTCCAGCTATGGACCCTCGATATTCGAACATATTGTGAATGCGGAGAGCTTCGAAACTGCTCTGCTCTCCTTGGCGGACGTTCTGCCAGAGGATGCAATGAAATTCATACTGAAAATGACAGAAATATTCATGCGAGATATGTGGCAAGATCTATATAATGTACTGCATTTCTATCTGCCCAGCGAAACGGTGCTCTATCACATTGGTAAAAGAGTTTTGGACAACTACAGCGGATATACGATTACGCAGCTGCATGACAAAGTTTCCGATATATTGGCCGGTGTTCGCAAATACTTTTTGTCACTAAATCCGAATAGTTATGAATCGCGCCAGAAGTGTGATGTCTGTCCGGGCTACTATAGCATATGCGATCTATAAACTGGGCACAAAGCGAAAGAAACCAAGGCACAAAGAGCTTAACACAAATTAAAGTAACACAAATTAAATTTGTAAATAAATATTCAAATATTCAATTTTGTATTTGCTTTTGTTATCTTGTTAAATGTAAAACTAATTGTATAAAATAAAAACTTAAGAAGAGGAAAATACAAAGCACACACAGTACATCAGCTAATAATGAGGTGCATGCTATGTACATGCTCTACTGGATGGATTACTGTCGAAAATGTTGTTACGATCTCTGAACTAACAGATATATATATATATATCTATCTGTATGTATACCTTGTATAGCTATAGGAACGAGTTTTCATGAAAGAGCTGAGCATTCATTCATATTTGTTTTATTATTTTGCACGAAACACAGACAAAGATCCAAAATATATATGTATA